GAACAGGATCAGAGAGGCCGTCTGTTATTTGACTCCATTGACTGCAAGAGATATTTCTCTTCAATAGTTCTGGGGATTTGGGCACAGCTGACAAGGGCAGCATTTGTTGTCTATCCCTGATAACCCTCAAGAAGGTAGTGATGTGTTGCCTTCTTGAACCACAGCAGTTAATCTGGTGCAGGCACAGCCATAGTTCTGTTAGGAAAGGAATTCTAGGATTTTAATCCACCAGCAGTGAAAAATGACAATGTAGTTCCAAATCAAGATGGTGAGCAGCTCGGATGGGTACTTGTAAATGGTGCCTGTTCACTTATGTTCTTTTATGTGATAGAAGTTGTACTTTGGAAGACAATATTGATGGAGCATTGTTATGCTGATTTAGTGTGTCTTGTAGATAACATACATTGCTGCCATTGTTTTTTTTTTATTCATTTGTGGGATGTGGGTGTCACTGGCTGGCCAGCATTGCTTGTGCATCCCTAGTTGCCCTTGAGAAGGTGGTGGTGAGCTGCTTTCTTGAACCGCTGCAGTCCTCCTGCTGTGCGTTGACCCACAATACTATTAGAGAGGAAATTCCAGAATTTTGACCTAGCGACAGTGAAGGAACGGCAATATATTTCCAAGTCAGGATGGTGAGTGACTTGTAGGGGAATTTGGAGGTGGTGGTGTTCCCATATGTCCAATGCCCTTGTACTTCTAGATGGAAGTGGGTGTGGGTTTGGAAGGTGCTGTCTGAGGATCTATGGTGCATTTCTGCAGTGCATCTTATAGACAGTACACACTGCTGCTACTGAGTGTCAGTGGTGGAGGGAGTGAATGCTTGTGGATGTAGTGCCAATCAAGTGGGCTGCTTTTTCCTGGATGGTGTCAAGCTTCTCGAGTGTTGTTGGGGCTGCACTCATCCAGGCAAGTGGTGAGTATTCCATCACACTCCTGACTTGTGCCTTGTAGATGGTGGACAGGCTTTGAGGAGTTGGGAGGTGAGTTACTCGCCGCAGTATTCCTAGGTTCTGGCCCGCTCTTGTAGCTACTCTGTTAATATGGTGAGTCCAGTTGAGTTTCTGAGTCAATGGTAACCCCCAGAATGTTGAAAGTAGGGGATTTAGTGATGGTAACACCATTGAATGTCAAGGGGTGGTGGTTAGATTGTCTCTTATTGGTGATGGTCATAGCCTGGCATTTGTGTGGCGCGAATGTTACTTGCCACTTGTCAGCCCAAGCCTGGATATTGTCCAGATCTTGTTGCATGTGAACATGGACTGCTTCAGTATCTGAGGAGTCACGAATGGCACTGAACATTGTGCAATCATCGGCGAACATCCCCACTTCTGACCTTATGATGGAGGGAAGGTCATGGATGAAGCAGCTGAAGATGGTTGGGCCTAGGACACTACCCTGAGGAATTTCTGCAGAGATTTCCTGGAGCTGAGATGATTGACCTCCCACAACCATGACCATCTTCCTCTGTGTCAGGTCTGACTCCAACCACCGGAGCGTTTGTCCCCTGATACCCACTGATTCCAGTTTTGCTAGGGCTCTTTGATGCCACACTCAGTCGAATGCAGCCTTGATATCAAGGACTGTCACTCTCACCTCACCTCTGGAATGCAGCTCTTTTGTCCATGTTTGAACCAACACTGTAATGAGGTCAGGAGCTGAGTGGCCCTGGCGGAACCCAAACTGGACTTCACTGAGCAGGTGCTGCTTGATAGCACTGTTGGTGACACCTTCCATCACTTTACTGATGATCAAGAGTAGATTGACGGAGTGGTAATTGGCAAGGTTAGATTTGTCCTGCTTTTTGTGTACAGGACCTACTTGGGCAATTTTCCACATTGTCGGGTAGATACCAGTGTTGTAACTGTACTGGAACAGCTTGGCTAGGGGAGCGGCAAGTTCTGGAGCACAAGTCTTCAGTACTATTTCCAGAATGTTGTCAGGGCCTATAGCCTTTGCAATATCCAGTGTCTCCAACTGTTTCTTAATATCACATGGAGTGAGTCGAATTGGCTGAAGGTTGGTATCTCTAATGCTGGGGACCACTGGAGGAGGCAGAGATGGATTGTCCATTTGGCACTTCTAGCTGAAGATTGCTGTGAATGCTTCAGCCTTATCTTTTGTACTGATGTGCTGAGCTCTTCCATCACTGAGGATGGGAATATTTGTGGAGCCTCCTCCTCCAGTGAGTTGTTTTATTGTCCACCACCATTCACAACTGGATGTGGCAGGACTGCAGAGCTTAGATCTGATCCATTGGTTGTGGGATCACTTAGCTCTATCACTTGCTGCTTTTGCTGTTTGGCGTGCAAGTAGTCCTGTTTGGTAGATTCACCAGGTTGATTCCTCATCTTCAGGTATGCCTGGTGCTACTCCTGGCATGCCCTCCTGCACTGTTCATTGAACCAGGGTTGATCCCCTGGCCTAATGGTAATGGTTGAGAGGGGAACATGCCAGGTCATGATGTTACAGATTGTGCTGGAGTACAATTCTGCTGCTGTTGATAGTCCTCAGTGCCCCATGGATGCCCAGTCTTGCTAGATCTGTGCGAAGTCTGTTCCATTTAGCATGGTGATGGTACCACACAACACGATGGAGTTTGTTCTCAATGTGAAGGCAGGACTTTGTCTCCACAAGGACTGTGCAATGTTCACTCTTACCGATACTGTCATGAACTGATGCAACTGCAGCCTAGCAGATTAGTAATGATGAGGTCAAGTGTGTTTTTCCCTCACCACCTGCTGCAGTCCCAGTTTAGCAGCTACGTCCTTTTGGACTTGACCGGCTCGATCGGTAGTACTGCTGCCAAACCACTCTTGGTGGTGGACATTGAAATCTCCCACCCAGAGTACATTTTGTGCCCTTGCCACCCTCAGTGCTTCTTCTAAGTGTTGTTCAACATTGAGGATTACTGATTTATCAGCTGAGGGAGGACAGTATGTGGTAACCAGCAGTAGGTTTCCTTACCCATGTTTAACTTGAAGCCATGAGACTTCAGTCATAATCCTAACTTGTGCTTTGTGAACTATTGACAGGTTTAGGAAGTCAAGAGGTGAATTCCTTGCTGCAGAATTTCCAGGTTCTGACCTGTTCTCATATGCAGTCTTTATACAACTGCTCCAGTGATCTTTAGGTCAATGCTAACTCTCAATGGTGGTGATTCAGAGTTAATAACACCTTTCAAGGTCAAGGGGAGATAACGAGATTTTCTCTCTTGTTGAAGATGGACATTGCTAGACATTTGTGTGGTGCAATTATCAGATGTCATCTCTCAGCCCAAGCCAGAATGTAACATTTATCCAGACACAGACTGCTTCAGTTTCTGAGGATTTGTGAATGGTGCTGAAGATTCTGCCATCGTGGGTGAACATATCCAAACTTCTGACCTTATGTCGAAGAGAAGGTTATTATGAAGCAGTTGAAGACATTTCACCCAATAAATAGCACCATAAGGAACCCCTGAGGCGAAGTCTGGGGTTGAGGGATTGGACTCCAACAAGAGTGATCTGACCAAAACAACTATACTCTAAATAGTAGATGGTAACACCAAAGTTTATTTAACAAAGGGTATCAATTATCCTGTGACTAAATGGCACTGGATAGCTGAAGTGGGACTGTTCTGATGAATGATAGCATATTTATTAGTATCAGGAATTTCCAGGTTAACAGTCGCGCAGACCAGTTGCAGAGTAAAACTCTTTGCACTCTCAAACATTGGAATTATGCGATGAATTATTTTTCCTGTGAAAAGGTAAAGTTGCCATAGTCACAGAGGATCATACAGCTGCTCTCTCATTTGAGGGAGACAACTGATGGTTATTTAACCTGAATGTTACCACACTTTGGGCAAGAGGAGAGGTTGAGAAGCAGGAACCTCAAGCCAGTACAAGAAAAGAATCCACACTATTAGCGTCACTCTACATTGCAAGCCAGGCATCTAGCCAACTGAGCTAAATGACTCCCATTATACTTGTAGTCTCAAGATAAATTTCTATTTCTTCTCCTGATTGGTCCTATGGTCATACATTCATACAGCAGGGAAACAAACCCTTCAGTCCAACCAGTCTGTGCTGATCATAATCTCAAACTAAACTAGCTTACCTGCCTGCACTTGGCCCATGTTCCTCCAAATATTTCTTGTTCATGTACTTATCTAAATGTCTTTTAAACATTGTAATGGTACCTACATTCACCATTTCCTCTGAAAGTTTATTCCACACACGAACCATTCCGTGTAAATAAAACTGCCCCTCATGTTTTTTTTTAAACCTTTCTCCTCTCACTTTAAAAATATGCCCCCTAGTCTTGAAATTCCCCCACCCTAGGGAAAAGACAGCTGCCATTCACCTTTTCTATACCCGACATTATTTTATAACCCTCTAAAAGACCGGATATTTTTACATTCAGAAAAAAAAATCAATTGTTTACCAGTAATGTGGTGTGAATGTTTCAGTTGTTTCACACAAATGAGTGAAGAACAGCACATTATACCCAAGGAAATGCAATAGGATTTAAGCAGCCTAAGATAAATCTGGTATCTGAAATATGTTGCCAGATGGAACCAGCATAGGTCAGGGCTGTCCAATAGAGACTGCTGCCTGGCCGCAGCTGTGTCTTTGGAACAAATCATTAGTCACAGACACCAAATTTAGCAGGAAACACCTTATAGGCACACAATACCCATATGTATGTTTGCTTACTATCTATTACCATTCACTAACTGAAGAATTAAAACACACACATTTTGCTAGCATTTTATCATTTTGCCAAGAAATACAGACTGTAGTGATTGCTATATGTAGTGTAGTTAGCACTGTCCTGAGTGCAGACCAGCTGGGAGTGGAGTATTAAACATTGGTGAAGAATTCTACTTCCTTAAAACCTTACAAGTGAAATTACTGAACTAAAATAGCAGAAATATTTAGGCTGCTCAATGTCTTTCTAAAAAAAGTACTGTATTAGATTGTCCAACAATTGTTTTAAAATAGTTAAATTTAACTTACATTCCACTGAGCACGTTTATAGACTCTGTCCTCAACCCATAATCGGTATCTTGCAAGTCTGGAATGGGTCCCAATACTTCAATATTCTCACCTTTCTCAGAGAAATTTGCTTCACGATACATTATCATGACTGGAGTTGATGTGTTCTGTGAATATAAAAAGTACACAAATTGTTTGATAAACACATAGCTCCCCTCAGAAAGGAAAGCACTGCGAATTCCAGAAAATACACAGAAGAAGCTAAAAGAGATTAATTCTTTCGGCCTTTGTAAAGAGTGTCATAAAAATGTTATTTCTTCTTTGCCAATATAGATTATTTGAAAAATATTACAAAATGCTATAAAGATATGATTACTATGTGTGTGTATTTGGAGCTTCCCGTTGTGAATTTTAAAGTTAAAAGATAGTTGGTATATTCCAAATCAATGTTAATTAATGATTCTGACAGAAATGGATCATTCCTCTGCCAACATTAGATACATAAACTGAGTTATCAGTCCTCCAATGACCTTATGTCGCTTTAAGATAGACTTCTCCGTCCAGCCTACAAATGTGGTGCATGGTACAACATTATGACAGGTTAACTCAGTTTTGGATTTGATCCTGATGTGTGTTTGTTATCTTCAGCCATGACAGTGGTGACAGTGTAATGCAATTGGTCTTAGCATATTGACACTGGGAGAAAGGGGAAGGAAAAGCTAGTAGAGGTAATTGGTAAAGATGTAGAATACTTGGGATTTCAAAACAGCATTAAATAAAGTGCTACACAAAAGGTTATTATGCAAGATAAAGGGTCGTGGAGTTGATGGTGACATCATAGCATGGATAAAATATTGGTTAATGGACAGCCAGCAGAAAAAGGCGTTATATGGGACATTTTCAAGTTACGAGGTAGACCCCAGCTATATAAAATCTATGTTAATGACTTAGATGAAGAATCAGAGGATAATGTTTTTCAGAATGCTGACAATACAAAGCTAAGTGGAAATGCCAACTATGAGGAAGACACAAACAGAGGACAAAATGGACAAGTGAGTGAGGTGGCAAATGGAGGACAATGTGAGGATGTAAAAGGTTATTAATCTTGATCATAAGAATATAAACACAAATATTGTTTAGAAGTCATGAAATTTTTCAGTGTCGATGTACAGAGAGACTTGGGTTTAGTAACACAGGGAACATGGGAATGTTCAAATGAAGGTATAGACACCAATTAGGAAACCGAATGGCATGTTGGCCCTTATTGTGGGGACTGAAGTACAGGAATTGAAGCAGTCTTGTTACAATTGTACATGAGACCACACCTTTTGCTATCACTCATCTGTTCATAGATCCCTACTCAGTTGGAGGCCTCAGTGGATATTCTACCTGTAGTAACCATCATATTTCCAGTAGCTTTACTGAGTACAGAGTAGTCAGTACATTATCCAATTGACCAGAAGTTCTCAGTTGGTGGGATAACCACCTTCCAGATCTGGATATGAGAGGAAGACCTACCCTCATCCTGTGAACCATCAGTGGTACAGGGTGTGGCAGGCTTTCTCAAAAACGGGTGACAGAAGGAACTTGCCAGCTCTCCAGCCAGCACCATAGACTCCAGTAACCCTCTCAAGACTCTATCCCTAGCATACTGTGCGCAATTTTGATCTCCATATTTGAGCAAATTTATATTTACATTGGAGGCAGTAGAGTAAAGATTCACTAGACTGGACCATGGAATGAGAGGGTTGTCCTATGATGAGAGGGTGAATAAATTGTATCTATATTGTCTGGATTTTTGAAAATGAGAAGTGATCTCATTGAAACACTGAATAACATGAAAGGGAGGTGGACTTAACAGGGTAGATACTCAAGAGATAGTAGGAACTGCAGATGCTGGAGAATCTGAGATAACAAGGCGTAGAGCTGGATGAACACAGCAGGCCAAGCAGCATCAGAGGAACAGGAAAGCTGACGTTTCGGGTCTAGACCCTTCTTCAGAAATCGGGGAGGGGAAGGGGATTCTGAAATAAATAGGGAGGGGGGGAAAGGCAGATAGAAGATGGATAAAGGAGAAGATAGGTGGAGAGGAGACAGACAGGTCAGGTGGATAGTCAAACCTTGTTTCCCCTGGCTGGGAAATCTAGAACGAGGGACAAATCTTCAGGATAAGGGGCTGAACATGTTGGACTGAGATGAGGAAAAACTTCTTCACTCAAAAGGGTGAATTTTTGAAATTCCCTACTCCACCAACACGGAATATACTTAAGGCTGAGATCAAGGAATTTTTCATCTTCTAGCTAACGAAAGGAAATGGGTTGAGTGGGAAAAAGAAGTTGAAGTCCCAATCATATTGAATGGTCAGGTAGGCTTGACAGGCAGTAAGACCTCTGTTCCTCACTTTTATGTTCTTGCAATCTAATGGTTCATTCCAGCTCACTGCTCAGGGAGATCTGCTGGAAATTGCACCTGTGACAACTGCATTAGGCTTGATCCGACACCCAATCACAACACAATTCTTTAACAGCCCTCAGTCTCTAGGCATGCATAAGGGATGAGAAAGCTACCGGAATTACACGTTTACACAAGTCACTATCAGTTTTTCACAGTGAGGAAAGGGCTGTGGGTATGAATGCAAACACAACTTAATTAAAAAAACTAAAATCTGCCAAATTGCATTATAAAGTTGCACTAAGCAAAAGAAAACTTACGATCTGGATAAACCGCAAAGATTGGAGGTGCTCATTGTAGCCTCCCCAATCATTCCACGTTCGGTACTCGCCTTCTTCTAAAACATATTGATGGCCTTGAAACCCAGGCTTCTCATAACCAACCCAACTAGGAGAAATTAAAAACAGCTCATGGACTGAATCATTATTAATCAACTGTATTTACTTAACACTGAAAACTGTATATGAAGTGAAATCGCTCTACTTGCTGAATTACTGGGTGAACAAAGGCTACAAAATAACTGCACATAAAAAAGGTACACATGCCAGGTAGATATAAACAATATAAGCTTCAAGAGAGGAGAACTGACTGGTAAAGTGAGAATCAAGTATGTGCATATAATACTCACTTGAGGGGTCCTCAGATCTGTGCAACTATCAATTTAGATATATTACATTTCAATCTCCTAATGCTAGAAGGAACAGTTAGCCCTCCAAGTTGCATCTTCTACATCATGTCTGGACAGTGTGGAACACGCATTTACATTTATTAAAGTTTAGGTTTATTTAAACATACTTTTTAAATTTAAATTTATTTCAAGGCATAATTTTCCAGCTTATTTGAATTTAGCTCTTGGTTCATTTCATATGCATATCACTTTAGATAAATATTACACTTCATTTCCACCCACTTTGCCTCTCAGCTGTCTACTTTCTAAAGCACCTGGATGTTTCACTGCCTCTGGCTTTATTCAGTGTGCCCGAGCTCATTTGCAGCTTGCCTCCCTGCATGACAATACTCTTGCTTTCCATTGAATACAAAATGCAGCAATTTGCAGCTCTCTGTACTTGACAATGGAAAACAGGGCCTCTCTGCCCCTATGATGCTGCTTGGCCTGCTGTGTTCATCCAGCCCTGCACCTTGTTGTCTCCTATAGTCCTTCCCCCTCTTCTGGGTGGATCATTATAGCTGCTAAAGCTCATGAAACCATGTGGGATACATAAAGCTTTTTCACTTGCAATTGCAGGCAGACTTCTCTCACAATATTGACTGCAGCATGAGAAGTAAATCATCTGATCTCTGCAGCATCAGCATTAGCTCATTCTTCAGAAACCGAGGTGTGTTTTATGGAGTCAATGGGCATTTTGGCTGCTGGGTGGCTTGCCGTGTCTGTTTTGAGGCAAGGCCTGCTGAGTTACAAGCCAATGAGGCAATCCATGGGCCAGTGGCAGCCTTCCAAAAGATCTAAATGCTGGAGGACAGGAAGATATGAACACCAAAAGATACTGGTTAATAAGAGGGCAACGACTCTTTTTTCTCAGCAGCATCACCAACGAGGAGGTGGCTGCTGTGGGAATCATGCTCATTGGAGGCCCAAGATCACCGAGTGCCCAGGCCAAAGGTAATGAATGGAGAGAAGTCTGTGCAGGATGGTGGTCATGAAAGGTGTTGTGGGGGGGAGGGCTTATGGTCAGCAGCATGGGCAGGGGATGGCTTTCCATGGGTTCCCATGTCATTCACTGTCAGGTCAAGCATTGAGTGTCTTACCAACCCTCTGGTCTACAAAACTACAAGCAATCCTCACATGTTTGATCATCATGCTCCCCTGGTATGGTGACACTGCCCTCCATCCACTGGTTTACTACCTAATCATTGTGAGTTCATGGTCTCAATTGGCTGCTGGAAGAAGGGAATGGCTAACCATGGGCTTTCCCATTTCCATCTTAATCGGCATAGAGATGGCTTGATGCCTCCAAACCTGCCACAGGGAAGGGCATAAAATATAGCACGGCATGTGCATAATAGTCTCAACACCTTAATTAATCTTTTTAAATACTATAACATGCGTTTGCCAGCATGGTCAATTTTAATTGTCACATGAATGCCTTAATTTTATTAAGCAAAGTTTTTCTCAAAAAAAAATAACAGCAATGGATGTAGATTAATCTTACATTCCAATTAATGGTCATAAGCAAATGGAAATTCATTCTTCTCAACTAAATCAGGATACAACCTTACTACTCACTCCAATCCATCTGTGTTCAGCAGATTTCATTGCGTGTTAAATATTTTTCAAGAAGGCCAATCATTCTATGGCACTATGGGCAAGTCTAGACAAATAAAGATGAGGCTATTGGGAAATTTAGCTTTCTTAATTCTTTATTCATGAATGAAGCAATGTGCCAGGTGCAATATGTGTACCAAATTATAGATAATGAATAACGCTCCTATAATTACAGTTTAACTATGTATGCTGGATAGAAAGTAAATGTATTCATTCAAAGCTGCACCAATCTGCACCCCACATCAAAAAGATTAAAATTAATGTTTGCAAATGGGTAAATACAACTTACAATCCTCCTAAAACTTTCATCGAGCCAATATTTGTAAATGGATAAGTGTGGCACAAAGCCGATTCTCCAACTTCTTCAACAAAGCTGAATATATCTGTTTTGAGTTCCAGCTGTCTGCCTTCAAAGAAAGGCTTTTCATACACAATAACCTGCAATGTAAAGTTAACAATAGCAAATTGTTGAATGTGGATTGAAGAAAACCATTGATCCTTACATCTCAATGGACATTTCCTAAGCATTGAAAGTTGAAATCAATAAATACCACAGTAATTCTGAGAACATTAACAGCAGCCCAAAACTCAATAGGAGCGACTCCATTATATTTACAGTGGACAATTGCACCTCATCTAGCTTTCAGCTTTAGACATTGCTCAAAACACAAAGGGAAGTGAATAAGTTCACTCATGAAAGTCTCTGAACTTCTGGGAAATTTCAGTCATGGTATGGTGAGGGGAACCAATTAGGAAAAGCTCACCCCGGTAATTAGAATGGTCAGATTCAGTGAGAAGTTGCTCCTCCAAAAGTTGGTCCCCTCCCATGCCTGCTGATGATACAGCAGCAAATGTGAGGGAAAACCCAATCTGTAACCGGAGGAGCAGCAAGCTGTAGGGAAAGTAAGTGTTAGTACCTAGGTTGTCGCCAGGGGAAACTGATCCCCGCTTCTGGCCTGAAGCCAGGGGATTTTCAGCCTCGTGCCAGGCAACAGGGCTTTTGCCATGGGTGATGCCTTCTGCCAGTCTAGTGAGGAGGCTTGTGCAGTCAGAGGCTGAGGTGTGTGCAAAATAAAGGGGGTATGGAAGGGGCTGCCAGAGAGATGGGATGGAATAAGCGGCAAGAGAGTAGGTGGAAACTAAAAGGGATAGGGCAGAGGAAACTGCAAAAGGGAGGAATGAATGGGGTGGAGGAAACCGCAAGGTGAGGTGGAGGAGGAGGAGGCTGCAAGGGAGTTTAGGTGAGGGGTGGTTGTAAAGGGGTGAGAATGGGGAGGATGTGTTTGCATCAGGGTGGGGCAGAAAATAAGGAAAGGAGGCTGCAAAAAGAGATGGGGCTGTTGGAGGAGGAAGGTCTAAGAGGATCTGAAGGAACAGACTACAACAGGTTTGTGGGAGGAGGGGAAGCTTCAACAAGTGTGATACTGTAAACTTCAGAACTTTAATAACTACATGGATTGAAAGAATCAGCAATAACTCTTGCTGGAATAAACCGTTCAGGGACAAGGACAAACTGTTATTAGCCTTCCTGGGGAAAAAAAAAAGAGTCAAAACTACATAAACAAAATTATTTTAACAGCTGCTTGATATGCCTTACACCATAAACTTGAAGGACAGAAAATTATATAAGAATGCAACTCCAGGATTCTTCAGTAGCAGAATTCCAGAGAACAGCAGTGCATATGAGGATCAAACCCTGGACACGTCCAGAGACAGACTCTGTTGGTTGGAATTGCAGCTAAATTACATAAGAACATAAGAACCAGGAGCAGGGGGAGGCTATCTGGCCCTTCGAGCCTGCTCTGCCACTCAATAAGATCATGGCTGATCTTTTCCTGGCCTCAGCTCCACTTACCCACCCTGTCACCATAACCCTTAATTCCTTTACTGTTCAAAAAAATTACCTATCTTAGCTTTAAAAACATTCAATGAGAAAGACTCAACTACTTCACTGGGCAGGGAATTCCACAGAATCACAACCTTTTGGGTGAAGAAGTTCCTCCTCAATTCAGTCCTAAATCTTCTCCCCCTTATTTTGAGGCTATGCCCTTTTGTTTTAGTTTCACCCACCAGTGGAAATATCCTCTTTTCTTCTATCTTATCTATTCCCTTCATAATTTTATATGTTTCCATAAGATGCCCCCCACCTTCTTCTAAATTCCAATGAATGTAATCCCAGTCTACTCAGTCTCTCCTCATAAGCCAACCCTCTCAACTCCGGAATCAACCTAGTGAGTCTCCTCTGCACCCCCACCAGTGCCAGCACATCCTTTCTCAAGTAAAGAAATGAAAACTGCATGCAATACTCAAGGTGTGGCATCACCAGCCATTAATCAGGTAATAGCCAAAGTTGGGTTGTGAGGCTTAACTTGCTTGCTTGTGAGGGGTCTTATTTTGGTTGCTATGTGGTATAAAGTTTAAATAATAGCTTTAGTATTTGATTGTGAGATTTCTTAATACGCAGCCGAATTAAGGGTAGCTTTTGGAAATTTACAGGGGAAATTGGAAGAGATTGCAAGAAGGCTTCGTGAAACGGAAATTTTTGGGGGAATAGGGAGGCTGTAAAGGGTTAAGGTTTTTAAAGCTAAGTTAGGTAATTTTTTGAACAGTAAAGAAATTAAGGGTTATGGTGAGAGGGTGGGTAAGTGGAGCTGAGGCTAGGAAAAGATCAGCCATGATCTTATTGAGAGGTTGCGAAGGGTTGAGGGGAGGGAGGTTTCAAGGGGTTGGGGAGAAGGAAGTTGCAAAGGGTTGAAGGAGACGAAGGTTGTAAAGGATTGAGGGACAGGGAGGCTTCAATGAAGTGAATATATTTTTAAACCTGCCAACAAAGAAATATTCTGCCGACTGCCAGGAAAACTTGAAATCATGAAGGTAGAGAGTTCTATCTCTGGGAAAAATCGCCTTTCGGGGGTGAAATGGAGATGGCAAAGCAATCACCTTACAGTCCTTTCCCCCATATACAATCTGTCCCTCAAAGTTGAGATTTTGAGATTTTTGATATGAGTCAGCATATATTCTATCCAATTGTATTGGACTAGCATCATAACTTATTCAGGTAATCTACCTCTCCATCTCTAATGCTATTGTCATTTACTATTAATAAAAAAAAAGCAATCTGTCAATCAAGAATTCTGCATTTATTCAGATTAAAATCGGAATAAAAAAACATTCCAATCTTTTACTGGGAAAATTAACATTATATTGCCCCTATGAAGAATACAAATCAAGGCAAGTTTCAATGTGTGTTTGGACTCTAAACATTTACTTTGCTTCTCTCTCCACAGATGTGCCAGACCTGCTAAGTTTCTCCAGCATTTTCTGTTTGTATTTCAGATGTCCAGTATCTACTGTATTACGTTTTAATTTAAAAGCAGTCACAGTTTGATTGTGACTGTATATTCAGCTGGCAGCTGTTGTTTCAATGGATTCAGATGAGTGAATCAAAATCTTCATCATTAATTAATATTGAGTGAATCCTGCGCGTTCACATTTGTGAAGAACAGAGTGAAGATAGAAATGGGTCTTGCTACAATGCTTGCCAACTGTCTAGACTCAAATTTGGAAGATAATAACTGATATTCTGGATGGGCCCAGGTACTAATGGAACCACAGCCTGCACAAATCACAACCTTCACACAAGGGAGAAAGTAATCTCTGATGGTTTAATACGATAAAGTTCTCACCTATTCTGTCGCACACAAGCATAGCACAAAAGGGAGCATTATTGTAGAAGAAATTTATTTGATGTATCTTATTTACTGAAAGGTAATGCCAGAAAGATGTTGAGAGGAGACAGTTGCATAGTGACAATGTCACTGAATTGGTAGTCATGAAGTTCAGACTATTATTGCTCTAGATACAATTGTTCAAATACCACCAGGATTTAAATCCAATTAATAATTCTGGAATATAAAGCTCGTCTCAGTAATGGTGGCCATGAAGCTATTACATTTATCTCGTTCACTCATATCATTTACGGAAAGGAATCTGCAATCCTTACCCAGCTTGGCTTACATGCGACTCCAGACCAACAGCAATGTGGTTAATTCTTAAACATCCTCTGAATTAGCCCGGTAAGCACTCAGTTCAAGAGCAATAAATACTGACTTTACCAGCAATACCCCAAAAGAAAAGAAAAAACACTTACTCTGTTGTCATTAATCTTTTCCACTTTCAATGGGCCCTGAAACAAAAAAATAGTATTTCCTTAAACAGAATGCAAATCTTAAGCTTACAACCTTCAAAGGCACCCAAATGTATTAGTTTCTTAAATAATTGACATATGTGACTGTAAATGATCACGAAATAGACTAACTACAGTTAATCAATTCCCAAAAAGGATTTTTTTACTTTTTTTAATGGTTTTCAATGGTGCAATTGCATCATAACTTCTCAAGTGGGTTAGTCGCCAGATATTCTTAGTTAACTAAAACATTTGTGTTTGCCAATGAAAGTTTGAGGTTGAAAAGGGAGTTACAAGTACAACTGATACTCTTTGAATTAATAAGCTTCTATGTTTATTCTTAAGCAATAGATAGGCTGAAAAAGTCAAGGCACCAGACTGAGGTACATTTCAGAGAAAGAAATAGTTAGCAAAATCGATCATAAGAATTGGAAAGTATTTAAAAGGGAACATAGGGATTATGCAGCAAGCAGTCATAACATCTGCCAAGGGTAAAGTGCAAAAATATATCAACAGAAATAACAATGAGTCACCCAGATAGGTATGGCATGATAAGTAGGACTTAATATGCAGTTAAGAAAGGAAGTTCTTCTTTGAAATATTATCTGAGATATTTTGAGGATGCAAGGATCTTGCCTGTAACAGAAATTCTGTGAATGTGACAAATTTAGATTTCAGTCAGCTTTTTATTGCCCTAAAATTATTAAATCAGGATAAGGAAAAATGGACTAAGGGGGGATTATTTTTGAGGTGAACTGAAAATTGGATAGTACAAAAAGCCTAAATGATTGCCAATGGAATTTACATTGAAGCATAGGAAGTAGGAGCAAGAGTAGGGCATTCAGCCTTTTGAGATTGCTCCACCATTCAATATAATCATGGCTAATCATCCAGCTCAGTGGCCTGTTCTCACTTTCTCCCCATACCTTGTGAGCTTTTTAGCCCTAAGAATTATGTCTAACTCCTTCTTGAAAACATTTTAATGTTTTGACATCAACTGCTTTCTGTGGCAGAGAATTCCACAGGGCTACCACTCTCTGGGTGAAAAAGATTTCTCTTCAACTCAGTCTTAAATGGCCTCTTCTAAACTCCAGTGAATATAGTCCTAACTGATGCAGTTTCTCTCTGCACATCAGTCCCGCCATCCCAGGAATCAGTCTGGTAAATTTTCGTTGTACTTTCTCCTTAGCCAGACCAACCTTCCTCAGACCAAAACTGCACACAATACTCCAGGTTTGGTCTAATCAAAGCCATGCACAATTGCAGCAAGACATCCCCATTCTTGTAGTCAAATCTTCTCACTATGCCAACATGCCATTTGCCATCTTCACCAGCTACTGCACCTGTATGCCTACTTTCATCAACAGGTGTACAAGAACACCCAGGTCTCACTGCACCTCCCCCTTTTCCAATCTATTGCCTTTCTGATAATAATCTGCTATATTGTTTTTGATTCCAAAGTGGAGACCTCACATTTATCAATGTCATACTTAATTTGCCATGCATTTGTCCACTCACTCAACTTGTCTAAATCACAGTGAAGTATGTCTGCATCCTCCTCACATTCAGCCTCCAGCTCATCTTTGTGTCATCCGCAAACTTGGAGATATTACATTTAATTCCTTCATCTAAATCATCAACATATATTGAGAATAGCTGAGGTCCAATTACTGATCTCTCCTATATCCCACCAGTTACTGTCTGGCACTCGTAAAAAGATCTGTTTATTCCTATGCTTTGTTTCCTATCGCCAACCAATTCTCTACTTGTGTCAGTAAACTATCTCCAATCTCACACACTTTAATTTTATATGTTAGTCTCTTATGTGGGACATTATTGAAAGACTTCTGATGGTCCAAGTAAACCACATTCATTGACTCCTCCTTATCAACTGTACTAGTTGCATCATCAAAGAATTCCAGTAGATTTGTTGAGCATGATTACCTATGCTGACTTTGTCTGATCCTGTCACTGCTTTCCAAGTATCAGCTATTAAATATGTTATGATGGACTCTAGCATTTACCAACTACCAATGTTAGGCTAACTGATCTATAATTCTCTATTTTGTCTCTACCTCCTCTTTTTAAAACAGTAGGCTTACATAGCTATCCTCCAATTGAAAGTAGCTGTTCAAAAAGATAGAATCTTGAAAGATGGCCACCAATGCATCCACTATTTCTCTCAAGCCTCTTCTTTTTGCGTTCTGGGATGTAGATTAACGGGTTCTGGGGATTTATCTGCCTTTAATCCTGTCAATTTTCCAATATCATTTCCCTATTAATACTGATTTCCTGCACTTGCACCATCTCACTAGACTCTGTGTTCTACAATTTTTGGGAAGTTATTTGTTTCCTCGTTTGTGAAGACAAAGTATGTATTTAATTGGACCCCCATCTCTTTGTTACACATAATAACTTCCCCTATTTCTGACTGTAAGAAACTTACATTTGTCTTCACTAATCTTTTTCTCTTCACATACCTATACAAGTATTTGCAATCAGTTTGTGTGTTCCCACAAGCCTACTCTCATTCTCTATTTTCCTCCTCTTAATCAATCCCTTTTCCTCCTGTCTTGAAATCTAAACTGCTGGCAATTCTCTGGGGCCTTTTGTTCTGGCCAGTTTGTATGTATCTTGTTTGGATCTAATTTCCTTTCTTAGTCATGATTGAGCCACCTTTCCTGTTTTATTCTTGTGCCAATGAACAATTGTTAATTTATCTATGCCTCTTTAAATGTTTGCCATTGCCTATTTGCCATCATCCCTTTAAGTAGCATTCCCCAATCTATCATAACCAGTTCACATCTCATGCCATCCTAGTTTCCCTCATTTAGATTCATCAACATGGCAAAAAGTCATTAACAGGATGTCACTGTTATCAATATATACAGTTGATTTGAGAGTTGAGTAGAAACAAAATTACCTAACCTCATGAGATAACTCCACATTGCTAGGGGAATGTTCAAACAATAAAGAGCAGTCAAATTATTAAAGGTAGATGAGACAAGTGAAGGAAACTAAATCATTCTTGTCCACAGGGCAGAACACAGGAAAGGGTTCTCAGGTCATTATTAGCGGACTGCTCACTGAAACTAATGATACAGTATGTGGCAGATTCAGTTCTTAGGATTAAAAGGATCAAAGTCAATGGGGAGAAAATGGGAACAGGGTACTGAGTTGGATAATAAGCCATGATTGAACTGAATAGTGGAGCAGGCTTGAAGGGCCAATGGCATACTCCTACTTTTTATGTTTCGATGGCAGCACGAAGGAGGACCAACCTAAGGAAAGGTACAGCACATTCTGATCAGACGATTAACAAAAATATCAAGGAAGTCATGCTGAATCACATGAAACACTGAGTATAACTGTGGTCAACATACTTCCAACAAGGTAAATCCAAGTGAAGAAAAAGTAAACTGATAGCGAAACTTAAGACAGAAATTTGCATAAGTTAACAACTCTGGATTGTTTACGTGGGGAAAAAAGGAAGGCTAAATAAAGGCACGAATCAAATATTCAAGTTCCTGGAAGGTATAAGTAAAATGATCCACAATAATCTGAGGTTTCCACAAACTCTAAATTCATGGTATAAACAGAATACAGAAAGACTTAGATTTAACTACTTCATTATAAGTACTTCTCATAAAATGTGTGAAAAACTTTATGGAAGTCTAGGCATCAATATTTTGCCAGCCACTGGGCTGTAGGCCTCTTTACTGCTCTATACTTTCCTTGTCATGTTAATATTAAACATGCTAGAAGAAATCTCAATTAAGATGCACATGAAGGAATGTCTGCTCTTTTCTCAAGATACATAAAAGGGAACATCTGCATTTCACACATCACAGTGTACAAAAGCATTTGTGAAGTAGTAGAGAGTCAATATTACTATAACAGGGTAAGGACAATGACCTATTAAAAATTTACTGCAAGTGGAAGCAAACAGCATGAAAACATCAGCATGTTAAGCTTTGCAAAGGCTGTCTCAGCTCAGTCTGTCAACCCTGGTACGCATTTAAGTTCAACTGTGAAAAAGCAAAATCAACAGTGGTATAGACTGACAATGTGTCTAGCTATTATGTAGAAGTTTAATAATTTTGAGTCAATTTTAAATATCTGTAAAAATTAATTTTCACATATGAGTCAAAAAAGGATTTGTTTTTACCATTTTCAATGGTTTCAGCGAGCCTATGAATGGATTCACTGCATACCAAGATTCTGGAGAAGGATATTGACCAGGTTCCACAATGTACGAATTTCCTTGATAGAAAGGCTCTTCAAATAGAAGCCAACTAGAAAACAAATTTCAACAAGCGACAGTTATGCTACTGCTTACATAGTACATAGAACATATATCACAGAGAAAAAAAAATGACCAATCAGTCCATTTCAGTGTCCATGCTCCATTTGAGAATCCTCTCACCTTTCCTCATCTAGCATGTCAGCATGACCCTCTGGTCCCTTCTTCATAATATAGTTATCTAGACTCTCCCTAAATGCATCTATTCACTTCAACCACTCAATATGACAATGGGAATCAGCCTGTCATTACACTTCTGTTTAGTGTACCTCTACATTTTGTGCATCAATGTTGTAAACATTTTTTGTACAGTCTCTAGCGTCTTGTGACCAAAATCATACGTAACATACCAAACATGGTATTGGTGGCACGGTGGCTCTGAGGGTGGCATGGTCACTCAGTGGTTACAATGCTGCTTCCCACAGCGCCAGGGACCCGGGTTCGATTCCAACCGCAGGAGACTGTGTGTGGAGTTTGCACGTTCTCCCTGTGTCTGTGTGGGTTTCTGCCAGCTGCCCTGGTTTCCTCCCACAGTCCAAAGATATGCAGGTTAGGTGGATTGGCCATGCTAAATTGCCCATAGTGTTCAGGGATGTGCAGGCTAAGTGGGTTAGCCATGGGAAATGCAGGGTTACACGGATAGGTTGGGGGATGGGTCTGAGTAGGATGCCCTTCAGAGGACCGATGTGGACTCGCTGGGCCAAATGACATGTTACCACACGGTAGGGATTCTCTATTTTTTTAAAAAACCAAGTCTCAATACAAATGATGGATAACTTCCCATTTCAGTTCTACTCCACTTCTGTCTTTGGTTCTTGTTGACTTTTGTTATTAGTCTCAGCGATTTATGCATCTGGACGCCGAGATATCGCTGCTTCCCTATCTCGTTTAGATTTCAACTTTCTAAATAATACACAAAATGTCCTAATCTTCTTGCAAAAAAAGCTCAAATGTATTTATACTGAAAAATATTTTTGAATTATATACCTATTCTGCAAATTTGTTAATATGCTTATGATATGTTGTGGTCCTCCTCATATGGAATATCAATATCACTTTCAATTTAGGGTCATCTATTTAGAATGCCTTTTTATTTCAAAGCCCAAATTTTCAACCTTTAATTCAGTTGGTAGGATATTGAATATCTAGGAGTTAGAGGTACCAATGTAATGAGATTTTGGGAATTAATTAGTTATTGTATTAAAATGTATATGATTTTGTGGTGTGTTGGTATTGTCTATGCCTCTGGGCCAGATGGTATGACTTCAAGTTACACCTTCCTGGAAGTGCATCATAACATGTTGGAGTAGGTTGATTAAAAGATACTCATTAAAACATATATAAAGAGCCAGCCAGAAGGAGTTGAGAGTGCACTAGAATGGAGAAGTGAAGAAATTGAGAAGCTCTTTCAAAGTACTTTGATCTTTGTGCTTGCAAATAGACTCCAGGCACTTCTAACACAAATTATTAATGTATACTGTGGACAACAGCACCACTTTCTATCTTCTGCCTCTCTTCACTGCTACTCTAATTTCTGGCTTGAAGCCAACTAGCTAACCATTCTGCAACTTGCCCTCTGACCCTGCATTCTCTGAACTTATTCACTTGTCTATTATGTAGTACTTATCAAAGTTTGTTTTTGAAAATCTAGATGAGTTACATTAATCTATATAAATTGTACTCAGCTCTTCTAATAAAAGCACTCAAAATGCTGAACACTGGAAACAAAGAGAAAATGCTTAAACATAAGATCAGAGCTCAATACAAAAATAAATCATATTAATCTTTAGGATGGAGATGAGGAGATATTTCTTCACCCAAAGAGTGGTGAGCCTGTGGAATTCCTTACCGCAGGAAGTGGTTGATGCCAAAACATTGAATGTATTCAAGAGGTGACTAGATATAGCACTTGGGGTGAATGGGATCAAAGGTTATGGGGAGAAAGCAGGATTAGGCTATTGAGTTGGATGATCAGCCATGATCGTGAAGAATGGCGGAGCAGGGTCGAAGGGCTGATGGACTCCTCCTGCTCCTATCTTCTATGTTTCTATAAAAATGCAGGAGGAAGAAGTAGGCAACAATATCTGAGTCAAACTGCTGGCTATGCAAAATTTGAAACGTTGCTTTTCAAATTGTCAGAACTACAAATGTTTGTTAGAATAAAAACTAGAAAGTTGAAATTTTGGACAAAGCCCAGGAGCTTCCAGTTTACTATTTGAATTTTTCGAACTCAAAGATCAAAAATAACTCTGTATTGAGCTTCACTGATTATTTACAAGTGACTTTTGGAAAAGCAGAGCTGTTTAAACAGAGATCAGATGAATTTGTTAAATCTTGCGAAACAAACTGATGGAATAACATAATAATAACATTATGCTACAAGTTATCCAGTAACAGTTATTGGATGGTTGGTTCCTGTTTTGCCCTAAACTGGGGAGTGGTGCAATTGAAAAGAGACCTCCAAGAATCATAGAATCCTTACAGGGTGGAAGCAGGCCATTTGGCCCATCGAGTCTACACTGACCCTCTGAACTGCATCCCACCCAGACCCACCCCTTATCCTATCCCTGCATTTTCCACCCCAGAAGTCTGAAGCTAATACAGGTCTCTGCCTTTCCTGGAAAAGAAAACTCTTACTGTTGTAGAGAGGTTTGCAAAGAAGCAGTATGTTTTCTCTTTCTCGCCCACGCTCTCTCTCTCTCTGAGTAAAAGACAACAAAACTGAACTGTTAACTCAATAAAGGGCCTGAGTCTAACCAACTATCTATCCAAGCTGAGGGCTTCTTCTTGTTTTACATCCAAGGGCAATGTGATCTTGCCACCAGAAACCAACAGAATCATGAAAAAGTTACTTAATTCCACCTTTGTGGTTTGGATGCTCAATCCACAGGGCTTTTGTTTTGTCTATTTTTTCCCACTCATAATAACTGCAATTATATGTAATGCCTGGTCGTGTGTGTGTGTGTGTGTGTGTGTGTGTTCAGGTTTGAAGGGGACACGGTTCAAGTTTGGATAATAGTTGTTTATAATCCATTTTGCCACGTGTTAAAGACTAAATTTGTACATTGCTATGATGCCAGCTTATGTTATTACCAGGCTTGTCACATCTCAGGCTAAAATCTGGCTTGATAGATCATTTTTTGATTGTTTTAGTTTTAATGAAATGGTGTCTTGCTGAAACATAAGCAGGTAACGCTGCAGATTTTGCTTTAACAATGAAAATTTATTTTTAAAAAAGATAAGCAGAATAAAATCAAACTATTTACTTACAACACAAATTCAAAGATTTTTAAACACCCAATAAAAGTTTAATCACCTCAATCCCAAAACAGTCCTTCATAAATTGTAAAGAAAAAGGCAACTTTTGTGTGGACCCAAAACACAACTGACACAGTACACATAAATGCTAATCATATAGCACCCACACCAGACACCCTGTCTTTAACACCTCACTAGGTTAAGGCACTAATGACTTTAACTTATAAACTGGAACTGCAGATAGTTCCTTCCTAGAACTTATTATGCACCTGAACTTAAACTACATAGTTCCAAATGACCTATTCAGAGTTTTACTCCAACACCTTCAGTCTGAATAGCACTAACCTCTTACCCTAAAGTAACCTCGTAAAAATATATCCCTTCCTTCCTAGGACACACAGCCATCTTTATCCAAGCATTTCGGAGGCCTGCTCAAATCTCACAAAAAAACTAAAAGAAAACTCTCTCCCCAAGCTATACATGTTTCTCCTAAGCTTTAAAAGATCTTTCATGATCTTCTAAACCATAGCTTATTTATCTTGTCTGTCATATAACCCTAACAATGTACACAAAACCCATTAATTCTAAAGGTATGCCTCAGAAACTGTTTAAAAAGAAATCATTAAGGCTACAGAAATACTTCAAACACACAACCTCTCATGATCTTCTAAACCATAGCTTATTTATCTTGTCTGTCATATAACCCTAACAATGTACACAAAGCCCATTAATTATAAAGGTATGCCTCAGAAACTGTTTAAAAAGAAATCATTATGGCTACAGAAATACTTCAAACACACAGAAAAATATATATATCTCTCATTAACCCAGAACCTAAGAGCCCAAACTTGCAAATAAATTATATAAAAAATACAAATTACACAGTTTACGAACATACTAACAAAGAATATGAGGAGGCTACTCAGCACTTTGAGCCTGTTCTGTCATTCAATCAGCTCATGGCTGATCTGATTTTAGCATTAACTCTACATTCCCATATATCCTGATAATCTTTATTCCCTTGGTAATCAAGAATCTATCAATCTCTGTATTATAAATATTGAAAGATTCTGCATCCCCTGCCTTTCGCAGAAGTGTTTACAAACACTCTCAACATTCCACAAAGGAAAGTTACCTGAGGCTGGAATTGAACCTGGGTCCCTGGCACAGTGAGGCAGCAGTGCTGACTCTGAGCCACCCGAAAGAAAGATCCAAGCCAATATATCACTCTGTACACCATGATTTTTTATTTTGCATAATAACTTTTGGTGCGGCACTTTACTAAATGCCTTCTGGAAATTTAAGTACAATACATCCATTGATTTCCCTTTATCCACAGTACAAATTACTTTTTCAAAGAACTCCAATAAATTACTTTAGCATAATTTTGTGTTGACAAAATCATGCCTGCTGTGCCTGATTAATTTGAATTTATGCAAGTGCCCTGTTCAAACATCTTTAAGAATAGCTCCTAACATTTTTGCAAGGCAGATGTTAAGCTAACTGACCAATAGTTTCCTGCTTTCTTCCTCCTTCCCTTTTTGAATAAAGCAGTTACATTAGCTATTTTCCAAACTAAAAGGAACCTTCCCTGAATCTGATGCATTTTGGAAAATTAAAACCAGTGCGTCAACTATCTCACTAGTTGAATCAGAGATAGTAGGACCTGCAGATGCTGGAGAATCCGAGACAACAAGGTGCAGAGCTCAATGAACACAGCAGGCCAAGCAGCAT